CAGGAATGTGTTTTTCTCCCTTTATAGTCCTGACCATTCATGGGGGATCTCAGATGGAGGTGGCATCTCTGATGCCCCGGGGGTTTTGAGTCAGTGCCCATTGAGCAGGTGGGCTCTGACCGATGGAAAGTCACATGGGCAGCTGGTCCTGGAGGGTGACTGAGGAGGCGTCCTCCTGTTATTGGTGTGGCTACATCTAAACATGGTCCCTCCTATGGAAGTGGAATTGTGGGGGACAGGTCCTGCACCCCAACTCTGAAAATCTCACAGTAATTTTGATTGCAGCTCTCTGAATAGTAGAAACATTTGTAAATATAGTGTGAAATTTGGAAACCATCATGTCCCAAACAACAAAAAGTGGGAAGATTGGTTTCACTTTTTCCATGTTGTTGTCTCCCACAAATGTCTTTGAGAAGGAAATTTCTATCATCCCGTGTGACTAGAGTCTTCAGAACATAAAAAGCTCATCAATGCTTTTGCAGGGTCAGGTTGAAGGAACCCTAATGAAACTCACGCCCATGAAGACGCTTCTTACACCAGGACTTCATTGCTTGGCTCTGGATCAAAACCGAGTTTTCTCTCCGGAAGTGGCTTTTTCTCACTGTGGTGTCTCCAAGGATGGCTAGCTCAGCTCCAGGGCACTGGTTCTGTCCTGCAAGGGCGTGTCTGGAAGTGCTCCTTCTGCTTCCAGGCTCAGCGTGCCTGGGAAACACCAGCTCCATTCTGGCTCGCTCTCCTTTTCTCGCCCCGGGAGCGCAGTGACGGAGTCCTGCAGTCCTCCGTTACACTCCTGTCAGTGGCCTCCTGCACAGTGATTCCTTCCCCAAAGAGTTTATGGTTTCCTCAAAGGCTGCTACATCACCTCGATGTCTGGTACCTTATGATGGATTTTTTTTTTTCTTTAGAGAGATTTTTGCTATAGGGCACATGTGCTCACCAGAAAAGAGAGACAGAGAGACAGAAAGCAGAAAAATCACCCTCTCCCAGTGGGGGATGGCCACGCTGCAATCCCTTCTCCTCCATTCTCCTCTCGGGATTTTGGGCATGCACGCACACATGCCTGGTGTGAATTTTAAGCTGCCAGGTCCAGGACTTGAACCGTGGTCAATTATGTGGGCGTCCAGTGACGTAACCTTTACACCATTTGCTGATCCCAAGTCATGGACTTTTTTTTTTTTTTTTTGAGAATTTTTTGCTAGAGGATGCGTGCGCTCGCCAGAAAGACAGAGAGAGACCAAGAGACAGAAAGTGAGAAATCACCCCCCGGGGTGATGGCCACACCATAATCCCTTCTCCTCCATTCTCCTCTTGTGATCTTGGGCATGCACATACACCTGGTGTGAGTTTAAGCCACTGGGTCCAGGACTCGAACCGCAGTCGACTACATGGGAGTCCAGCAACATAGCATTATGCCAACTGCTGGTCCTGGTCATGGATTTTTTTGAAAATTGGGAGATCTAGCCTTCCTCTGACTATACCTTCTCTCCTCCCACACTTCTCACATGTTTTAGCCACGTGGTCTCTTGTTCCCTAAAAGTGTGCTTTGATCCACTGCTCATGTCAACATCTGCCTTCGGGAATCCAACTCATGGAAGCCTCCAAGTTCAGTTTGAGTCCCTTCTTCTCTAAGAAGAGAATCTTCCAGATTGAACAAAACTCCCTTCCTTGGCCTCGAGATAGCAACCTCAGTCTGTGAGTCGCCAGCAAGCAGGAATCAATTTTCGTCTTTTATCCTACTATTGTT